ACCTGCTTAATGCCCTGGTGGACGGGGCTGTGGCCCCCCCACACCCTCTAGCAGATCATTACATGTAGGAACCTTTTAAAAACAAGCGCGTTCATGCTCACAGGTGTACACACGGGTGCTCACACACACAAACTACACCCTTTTTGGCTCCTACCTTAAAGCACACTGTGTTCTGTTGATCTTACGTGCTGCACAATAATGTTTAACATTTAGTATTTATTGTTATATTCCCATATATCATCACGATGTTGTTTATTCTATTGCTCTAGTCGTCTTCTGCTTGGTTTTTGGTTTTCTCAACAGGTGATCCAGGAAAAGAAAAAGAGGGGGAAAAAAAAAAGACAAAGGTGATGAAGCAGATTTTCATTGTCTTTTCTCTCTCTCTTTTTTCTCTCTCTTTTCTTTCCCTCTCCTTCTGTTAACTTTCTTCTGAACTTTTCTTCTTGTTTTTCTTTCCCGTCCCTGAGTCCAGTCTGGCCTGATTACAATAACTTAGAATAAAAATAAGTAATAAAGATCAAATAAACTATGACAATCAAGTGGGCCAGTATAGCAAAAGACCCACTTGGGAAAGTAAATCTGTTGGGCATTTTTCTTGGCCTTCAGACAATAATTCTGATTGCTACAGTGCCAGACAGGACACACACACACACACAAAAAAAAGAAAACTGAGATTTTTTTTTTTTAAACTCCATTTTTGCGTCTACGTGTGGACGAGGAATATTGAGTGCGTCACGCAACGTCAAAGGTATGTAGCTTTTTTCACGTCACGCTTACATATACACACGCAGTTGCTGTTCCTCCATTTAGAAAAGCAGAGGCCTCATGGTATAATTATTTTACGTGTAGTTGTTTTTTTCCTGTGTAATAATAGACAATTTCAAATAATGCCTCTCTGTGCAAAATGGGTTAAAAAACAGAAATAACTGTGTGATACTGTTTGTCCGTGATTTGGACTGGGGGAACAAATTATGGCAGTATCAGCCTGATATTATTTTTTATCTCACTGTAACTTTACTGTATGAAGATCTAACATCTTCAAAATGTCAGGAGTAGTTAGTCATTACAAGAAGTGTTTGCGAACTAAAAATCAAGAATGTGGGATTCTGTTTGTTCGTGATTTGGAGAGCCCAGCGCTGCTCCCGACGCAGGAAAAACTAAGACCTACCTTGGCACTTGTGCAGGTGAAGCCAAAGGGAAAACATGCTTCATCATATTTTCTAGTCTTTGGCTTGGAAGGAGGTTGGTTTGGAAACATATTTTGCGATGCTTTGTGTTTGTGTGGGAGCAGTGTCCAAGCATTCTTTTTTTTCTTTTCATACCGCGCACATCCTGCAATGGCTCGGCTTGGGAAGCTCTGCTATACTACATCTTTGGTGTAACTAACATTTTGACAGTAAAAGCGATCCACAATGGCAGTTTGTTACCTTTTATTTTTTGTAGCACAATAGCTCTTTCCAAGGCATTTTGTATTCCAGGTACTTTGACTGGTTCACAAAAACGGCGGTCTTCTTCATTTCTTAGAGAATATTGTGCATAATTTTCATGTTCTGATGTTTCTTTCTATAAAAAAAAAATACAAAATCGAAATGTATAAAGTACATAGACAATAACACCCTACCTACTTCAGTGGTCCCTTTTTTGCTCTATGGACCGGTTTATGTCCGACAATTTAAGGTCTTTAAGGTGTCACGGATAAATATAACAAAGCAGTACCAGTAATAAAATAATTAGATTTATTTATAACACACGGGAAAAGAAGCAGGGAAACACAGTTAACAATAAAAATGATAAAAAAAACAAAAAAAACAATAGAAAACGATAAAAATCCTGAAAACCATAAATTTCACAACCGAACTCTACCTCTCGCGGCCAAGGGACTCATGGACCGGTACCAGTCCGTGGCCCAGGGGTTGGGGACCACTGCCCTACTGGATGTCTATCCCTTCTCTGCACATTTTCTACCTAATAATAATTATATTTTATACCCAGGAAAAAGCTAAAATATATTCTGCAACAAAGTGATATGGGTGAAGGTACATTTTAAAACATCTCTTATAGATGTGACCAACCACCTTTAATTATAAGTGAATATATGAAGATATTTGTAACCATGGCAATCAATAAAAACAGATGAAGAGGCATCTAGCAAAAAAAAGATCATATAGGTTATAATAAGGGGCAACATGACAGGGTCCATAAAAAACCAGACACTGTCACATGAATTTTTTTTAGTTTCTTTTTTGGTAACTTTTATACTATTTAGCAAGTAAAACCAACTGGTTGCTTTTAAGCAGGATTAAAAAAAAACAAAAACAGACATCTGTTTAAAGAATATTTTGCTTGAACCCAAATGTAAACATGTAAATGTTTTAGTGTGGTGAAATGAAAATTTTTCTGGCTGGCTACCTTTGCTTCTGACATGAGATATGCCCAACAGTATGTTGAATACTCAAAGACATCTTGGTCCTCGATGACCTTTCCCATTTGTTTTGTTCTAAGACCTGGCAAAAGCTCTCTAAAAAGAAAATACAAGCCTTCAACTGCTGCAATCTAAGAAAAAAGAAAATATCAGGTCAAGGAAACTTTCATTCTGTCATGGTCACATGTGAAACAGGTAGTAAAAATTAAGTTATTTTCTTGTCGTTGCTATAGTTTACCTTTTGATTTCTGGATATGCCTTCATTCTTACAAAGTAATTGGTACAAACTCTGAGCCAGTGGGTGACAGCTAGTTAGTTTTCGTATGTACCCAATCAGTTTCTTTTGGAAATTAACTGAAAATCTGCGTTGCTGGAAGAAAAAATATTGTTCAGAGATCATTAAAATCTGAGGTTATGCTCTCACCATGGAAAGAGGCTTTAAAATATTAAAAGAATAAAGACACCTCGAAGCTCATTTTTAAATAGAGGTAAATAAACACTATTTTTAATCATATATTATGTATTATTTTATGATTATTTAGAATTATTATTAGTATTATTATCAGGGTAGAGACACCTCATTGTAGTCATATAGGATTCATATTGATATGCTTGTTGTTTGCTTCGTACACTTTCAAAGCATTTTTTTGACATATGTGTCATGATTATACAGAAAATAACATATAGTTAATTTTATCAACAGTAACCCTAACCCACTAAAACAGTCACAAGATGACACAATACTTACAATGACATAGAGAGATGACAGAAGGACACTGATTCCTGTGGTGGTTTGTTGAACTGAGGGCACAACATCATCAATAAAGAAAGCATTGCGAGCTAACTCTTCCTCTGCAAATGTGGACAGTGAGAAGTGCACTATAGACTTCTCTGTGATCCCACAACTTTTCAGTGTGTTGCCAGTGCCAGTTTCACCTCTGAAGATATGGGTAAGAACATGAAATATAATAGTAATGACAAGTAATGAAAATATATGAAATAAAATAACAAATGACAATTAATAAATGAAAATGAAGAAACATCATTAAATAGGTGTGATTTCCAGTGGAACAACAACATTCCACTCAAATTAATCCAAACTTTTGAACGATAGTGTAAATTATGATTAAAAGAATTGCTGTCAGTAAATTAAAATATATTCTTACATGTATTTCAAAACATGTGCAGGGATTCCACATTCAGCTGCAAGCCTGATCTTCAGATTAGCTATAGTGTCAAGTGCCAAGTTTACTTTCACTTCGAAATCTCCCTGTATGAGAAAAATAAAGTGTAACGTCATTATCCTCCTCTCACTGCTCTGCATATAATAAGGGAGAAATCACCATATAGTTGAAAACATGCTTATTTCTTGTCTGTCAGTTACAATGGCTGTACTATTTTCTACAGTTGCTGATCAGCTATCACTTTATTTATACACTGCTCAAAAAATAAAGGTACACTTGGAAAACACACCAGATCTAAATAGGAAAAAATAATCTTTGTGGATATTTATACTGATACGGACTTGGCAATGTGTTAGGATTGAAAGGATGTTACATCATTTGATGGAAAATAAAATGGTCAACCCTTCTGGCTGAATTCAAAGACACTTTCAAAATTAAAGTAAAAAAGTTATACTGCAGCCTAGACCATTGTGCTGATATTATATTTAGGCAAACCATGGAACCAACCACCACCTCCACCGTTTCTGCCTGGCGTTCCTGTTCCAGCCTGCCTCTGCTTTCCCCTAAAGCTGGTTGGGGTCAACCATCAAGGCATCGCCGATGCCAGGGAAGACAAAGCCACTGGTGAGACTGAAGGCTGCCTTCTTAGGTTCCAGGAATGATAAATAAATATGTGATGCGATTTTCTCTGACCATTGGCCATTAGTGTTTAACATTTTATCTGCATTTCATTGCCTTGTACTTGTGACATGTGCAATGACAATAAAGTTGAATTCTATTCTATCTCACTGCCATTTTAAATCAACAATCCCAACACGCCGTTATCGCGGTTTTAATGCTAAAGAACAATTCTCCATTGCTGGAGGTCGGGTTCTTCCCTTGGCAATGGCACCAAGCAGATTGAATCAAACTTTACTAGTAAATGCAAGGCTATTCTTGATGAGATCGTCCCTGTTTAAACCAGCGTGTTCAAAATCTCTGATCCTGATCTGATCCGTGGATAAATGAGACGACCCGATCAGCTAGGCAACAGTGCAGGAAAGCTGAATGAAAATGGAAAAAACACATACTACAAGTTTCTTTACTGCTGCTGAGAGAACGTCTATATCAGGGGTCGGCAACCTTTCTGATTGCCAGTGCCATTTAAAATTTCCTCAGAAGTCAGTGTGCCATATGATTGCATTAGCAATAAATTTAATAATGCTCTATATGAACAGTTACACAATATAAACAAAAAAATACACTTTTTATCCATAACAGCAAATGAACTGTACAACAGAAAATACAAATGCTATTTATGGTCTCCTCACAACAATGATAAGAAAAATAAACTAAGCCAATATGGCATGACAAATGTTAATGTGATCTCTGGTCTCCAGAGACACAGGTCTCCGAGTGTCCAGCATTCAGACGGCTACCTGAGGACACTCATGTGAGAGAAAATCTGCTCTCACAGACATGTAGAGCCAAATACTAGTGATGTGCGGATCGATCCTGAAATATCGATTCCTCCGATACCAGTCATTTATGTTCTAGAATCGATTCTCACATTAAAATATCGATATTTTAGTAATTTAGAGTAAATTTGTAGTTTATCATTAACAGGAACACAGTGGAAAGAAACTATAACATTCGGATTGTCTACATTCAAAGGAACTACTTCCTCTTCCGCCTTTCATAGTCATGTGCGAAATACGGCTGAATAAATGTCTTGCAGCCCCTTGGCGCATGCACTCACAACAATGGCTGAGCGTAATTGTGCGGACGTATTTTACCTCCACAAACAGCTGAGACGTGGTTTGCGATACATGTGGCAAAAAAGTG